AAGTGCATGACCCGGTACTTGGCTTTGTTAAGAATGCCGAACCAATAAGGGATTCCTACTCTCGTTAGTAAAATCTAGTAAAATTAGGTTTGAACTTCCATAAAAATCCATCATCAAAAATGCCTTTGGCTATACAACAGTAAAAATGCCATTGTGAACATGACGATAAAACAGACACAGTATTGGTGAAGCTACTCAAGACAAAAGACGTCAGGAAGGTAATTCCTTTCCTGTGGGATGAAAATAATGAGCTCATAAATATATCTTAGAGATAGCCAGTGCTTTAAAAGCAAGGTGCATAAACTGTACAGTTTTATTGGCAGAATTATTTTCTTATCATATAAAAATTTTTCCACAACGTAAGCCAGATCAAGTTTGCGTAGGATGAAGGTAACTCTGAAACAAACCTGAAGCATCTCATGACCGGAAAGATTTAAGAAGTCTTTCTTGACCTCCTCATGCCTCAAGATTTCTTAGATTTTTATTTTACTTTTATATCACTTACCAGGAAAAGGATGAATTTTAGTAGCCGTTATGGTTCTTTTTGCATGTCTGGAACCCTTTCTTCTTAGAATCGTAGAAACTGCTGCTGCTACTCCATGTTTACAATCTGTCTTAAATAAAATGTGTTATCCTCAGACATAGAATTACATCTAGTACTGATTAGAAGGAAAGCGTCTTCACAAGCAGTTATTCTTAAACTGCTGAAAACCCTCCATGGAAAAAACAGGAATGTTTTGAAATACAGTGATGACAAAAACCAAGGGCCAGATGTTTTACATTTTTCTGAAAGAAAGTTTCTGGAAATCCACTTGTGTTTGCCCCTTTTCTATCCTTGAATGAATTTTGGAAGGTTAGTAAGAAAGTGTATGCTCTGCTACAAATTTGAGCTCACGCTGTCGGCAGCGAAATAGCAAGGCCGGGGCATTCTGGCGGCCTAGGAAGCTGCCAGATTCTTTGCAAGTGTGGGGTGTTCATCCTTGGAAGCAGAGTTTGTGAGCAAGGTACACCACTCAGAGAGAGAAAGCTGGAGCTGAGTTGAACACCTCTGACTGACCCTCAGCACCATAAAATCCTGTGTTTCCGTTTTTTTGCTCTCTTTTAATACTGTGCTCTTGGTGGGGCTATTGCAGATGATTGTGCAGCTGTTGTGGTTAGTCCCGTTCTACAATAGCAGTTTAAGGCTCAGCCACCTTCTGGTAACAGGCTCATTTCAGTTCTACGTAACAGGATTGATTTTTATCTTTTTCGTTTGAGAACACTAGAAAACTTCAGCTTTAAGAAATTCATTAAATTAGCATTGTTTAGGCCATGATCTTTTTAAAAAGAGCCAGTGGAGATCTAATGCACTGAAGCCCTAGGTATGCCCTGTAACACTTCATGACAGCGAAAGCTCTGGAAGTGGTCATAAGACAAAAGTGGAAGGGAAAAGACAAAAGCAATAATTTCTAATATAGCTCCTTTGTCAGGAATCACTTGAAACCTCCACCAAGTTTATTTGGGTATTTTGTTTTATGCAGTGATGAAAATAACTTAATTAACATTTCAGGGAATCTCTGAGTCTGCCTAGGTCTCAAGAGGAAATGATTAATTTCATATTTCTTAACAGCTTTCAGTGGTGCTCAGAAATTAAGAGAAAAACTGCTAACTGAATTATAACTGGAAAAATTCTTAGCAGCTGGTTTAGGCACAGTAATATTGCTAGTAATATTGTCCTGTGTTCTTTGGGCACTACTGAAAAAAGCAGTATGTAGACTTGCAATTAAGTGACATCTTAATATAAACACATAAGGAGTACAACCCTTAAATCTGATTTTAATGTGCTTGAATTTTTAGCAGTAACATACTGATGTTGTTTTTTATAATGTTATATATTATAAATTTAATAAATCCACCATCCCTCCATTAACCAAAAATGTATTCTAGAAGCAAATCAGTAATTAGAGGTCTCAAAAGGGCATCTTTTCCTTCATGCTTGTGTCCATGACAATTTAATAGAAAACTGATTTGATGCTGTGCTCTATGTGTTTAAGAACAAAGGCAGTAAATAATTAATCATCACTACTAATAATTCTCCATTAAAAATAGGATGTTATGACTCAAAGCATAGAAAATCATACTCATGACATTTATAGGTAGCTTTCAAATTACAAATAAACGTCCTTTAAATTAGAGTGTTTAATAGCCCACTTATAAAGACCTAATTTACGCTTTGTGGGATTTTTATATACATAAAATAGGTCTCAGAATTTGGTTTTAGCAATAAATGAAAGACCATATATTTTGACCAGGATAATCTGATAAGGAGTATCTTTAATCATTTGCGCGGGGGGGGGGGGCATAGATTTGCCATTTTGAGCAACTGTTTCACTTATTCATTAAAAATATGTGCATGCAATATTTACATTATGCAAAAACATCACAGAAACATTTTGTGTGTGGGCAGTCTTCTTCCTGCTGTTCAGTTATGATTAAAGCTAGACTCCTATTGCTCTTTCATTACAAAAGTACCCGTGGATACTGTAAGGATGATCAGGGGGATGGATATGGCTTAGCTTTTTTTTATTATCCCTGTGTCCGAGGTCTCCATTTGTCAGCTCTGGACTACAAGAAGCATGGACATCTGCCTGGTAATAGCAACTAAATGCTGCTTGTCCAGAGGCATTCTGCCCACTCGGGGATGACACAGGCAGAAAGTCTCAGGGAATTGCTGTGAAAAACCTCTGAGAGCTATCATCTCAGGTAACAGGTTAAGTAACAGGCTTTTCACACTGGTGAAAGGGAGCATGCTCACTGTACCACCTACCTCTGACTTGGTATGAAAATCAAGAACTAGCAGCTGATGAGCAGTCGATTTTCTGCATTGTTTTTGTGCAGAGGACTTTTATCTTGATTGCTCAAAAGTCTCAAGCTCAGGGTACTCCTACACTTTTATTCTAGCTTTTTTCACTGTATATTGCTAGAAAATACACTCTAAATATGATTGCAGCCTGTATCCCAAGTGAATTGCATAGGCAGAGTCTGTCTTAGCTGATGAAGGCATTCTGTAGAAACAATTGTTTGAATCTCTGAGCTAAGGATAAGTTCTTTCATAGCAAATTTTTAATCACTTGGAACTGTCAATAATGCTGATTCAGAAATCCCAGCAGTTTTTTCTTTGATGAAATAACAGCAAAGAGAGGTGTTAACTGAGCTTAATTCAGCTCTGGGGTTAAGAGGGCACAACCTGGTTGACCTATAGGAGATTACACGACCACTGAATTTACATGAATGGTTTTTAGGACAGACAGCTGAGTGCATATCTATTCATATCTACACAGTAATGTTTCTTGATTGTGACATAGACAAATGATCTTCGGGAAGGAAAGGGTATTTCAATCTGCTTATATTGGTTGGTCTTTGGCACTCCTGTTTAAGACCTTCAACAAGGTTCAATTGTAATTGTTTTATGTACTGGAACAGGTCTGAAACTAGGAGTTCATATCACTAGGGATCACAGGCCATGAAACTTCTGTCAAAAACCTCATATTTCATTCACTGTCAACGAGCTTTGATTTGCATCCAGGTGAGAGGCGATTATACCAATTATCTGAGTGTTTCAGTCCCTCTATAAGAAGCTTTTACCATGTTACAACTGAAATATTGGCTTCCTAATTGCAATAACAATCAACAGCTTTGATACTGTGAATTAATACTTTTTACATTCCGCAGAAATTTAAATTGATGCAGATTAACATTTCGTTACTTACAGTTTTGTTCATTTTCTTGGGCTATTTTGCAGATAACAATTGAAATAGTAAACACGAAAACTACTGGAATCATAGTGAGCCAAATGATCTTCGTCATACACATTGGATCTGTCCATAAAATGCAAAAGAAAGAAAATGAGCCGGGAAATCACTGGCAGAGAAAAGCAGAACATTCAGTCTTTATAGGTTTTTGGACCATGCCTATCCTCCAGATAAAATTTTAAAACAGAAGAGATTATTATGACTTTCTCTTTCAGTCTTCTTTGTTGTTTGAAATTAGGTTTCCTGTCTAGAATCTAGCTTCATTTTCACTTGTATCTATGTCCTCATGTCTGAAATATTTACATGTAGGTAACTGAATGAAAACTTTTCCTATTTGCATAAACTGTTATATGCAGCTCAGCCAAGAAGAAAATGTTGCAAAGATCAACATTTATATTTAAGGTGGAGCAATGGTTATGTATATCCCCTCTTTGCTTGGATGGAGCACAGAAGGAGCAGGATCACTGTCTGACGCTGGCCTGCACTGGCATTCTCAATCTCCTGGTCCGTCTTCATATATGGGACAGGGTGAGATTCTACATATAGCAATTTTCTTATCAAAATTTTCTTATCAAAAACTGAGGAAATGCCACCAACGAGACGCCACTGGGGAGTTCTTTTAACTCAAGCTGCCTTGAGGGAGAACCAGTGTGGGACCAGGCATAGGAGATAGGATACTCTTTCAGACAACAGCTGCTGCAGAAATGCACTTGCATTCCGCAGGGAATTAGTTCAGTTACTAGTACAAGCCAAGACCACAGAAAGGATGTGGGGAACTCTCCTCACTGCTTCTTCAAAAGACCTGTCAAACTTCTTCAGCAGCTGCATGTTAATGCATACCTTAGCATTGTCAAATAATTGTTTAAAAAAACAGCTGTGTTACTGTGACTCATATAAAATCAAATTACAGACTACAGCCAAATCACTGTTTTCCTTCCCTTCACTTAAAATAGTATAATTAGACCAACATCAACTTCCCTTGTGTATCTTCTCCATTGTGAAGACATGAGGTCACTGCCAATAACCCCAAGGCTCTTTGAGGTAAGCACAGCTCATCCCTCCTAATTCAGAACTGAAAATATCTTGTATGGAGTCCTTTAGGCTCCTTTCAGACAGAGGACTCTACTCGTCTTGTAGTGATTTGTAATGACTTGTCTATTAATTTTACCTAGTAAAACCCTGAGCACTTCTTTAGCTTTGTTTTGAAGTAAATAGAAAAATTATATGTAGATAATTTTTATTGTTAATTTGAGATATCTGCTTCCCAGGTGAATCATCGTTAGCAAAGGATGGGTAGCCTATACCTTTGACATAAGTTAACAGGGGAAGTTACGAACTATACTCCTCTCATGGTTAGACCTACTTATTTTAAACAAGCAAACAAACAACAACAAAAAAAAATAAGCTGCCCTCTCTTGCCTAGGATTTTACCTGGATTTATTTAACATAGGTTTAGCCACATCTAGAACACATGTTTTTTTCTCAGCATAAAATGCATTTGCCACACAAACCTAAGTGACTGTAATAATTCAGCAATTCCCGGATGGCAGGCATTGCATATAGACAGGCTGGAAGCCTGGGCTGGGGTCAGGCAATCAGCCAAAACACTCCTGCAGCACAAAGAGAAATTTAAAGAGCTGACAGGCTGTCCTCCGGGAAAACTAAGCCTAGTTCAGCCAAAGATTTTTCTTTTAAGTGCAATGTAGTAAGGCTCTTTAGTAGGATACTGCAGTACAACCTTAAGAAAAGTCAAACCTGTCTCCTGGTTCTTCTGTCACTGAAGTTAATAGGAATTTTTTAATTTTCCTCCAAGACAACAGGATTATGCTGCTATTATCAGGGAGAGGAGAGGAAAAAAGTAATTCCAGTTTTGTCATACATGCAATTTGTGGGTCTGTCACCAAAAAAAAATACAGGCACTTACTTTGTTGTGTCGCTTCTAGGCAAAAAATAAAAGCTGCATCTACACCTGCTTTAAATCAATATAAAGTCTGTCAGTTGCCTACTAAAGATAGTCTTTTACTAAGGGATGAGCAAAATTGTATTCTCTTTTTGTGAAATAATTAAATATTTTCAAATGGGTGCTGAAAGCAGAGAACTCTCTACTGGAGACTTTTTGCAAGATATATATTGTTCCCGATTTTCTCTCTCTCCTTTGTAACTTACATTCCACATAAGACTTCAGTTGCAGTGAAATATTTATACAGTCATTTTGGTCTTCCATCATTGCCACTAGACAGGAATGATTTAGATATTCTTCAGCTGCATTTCTTCCTCCAACTATAGAATTGTTGATGTGGATTTCCAGAAGGTAGTAAGTACTATGCTCTACTTCTTCTTTCTTGGAAACCATAACGAAATTGAAATATTTATAAAAATAAATAGTATCTTCTGTTTTCATTTCAAGTGAGCCTTTTGGTTTTGGAAAATAAAAAACACAACACAAAACTATTATATAATGTGGTAGACACAAAGATGACTCTAAGAACAATAAAATAAGATTTCTGTGTCATTTGCCAAAACATACAGCAAACTTTTGCATTATTAAATATGATAAAATGGACAAAAAGATACCGTGTAAAGTTTTTTTCAGCAGATCTGAAAAGTATTGCTCATCTATACAAAATACATTTCCCCTGCAAATTATAGCCCCTTTTTTACTTTACTACTAGCTTCAGAAATTTTCGGGGTTTTTTCTTTTGTCATCTGTTGTTGAAGGTAACAGATGAAAATCAGGCTATGAAAAAAAAACCCCCTAAGTAAAACCTGTATGATTATAGAGATCTGAAGTGTGCATCTGCTGTCAGTTGCAGCAAGTCCTTATTCACTTCAAACCACACAAGCTGTGAGACCTCCACAGTGTCAACAAGAAACACAGGTAGGTGAGGCACTGTCAAAACAAGTCGTACACTATAACTGAAAACAGCATTTGTCCACAGATTTTTTTGGTTTTTTATTTTCCATACTTGTTAAGAGAGCTCTTTTGTAACAAGAAAATGATGCAGCTGGAAAAGAACTGCGTTTCTTACATTCGGGAACTGGCCCGTTGCCCCTGTTGCTGACAATGTTAGGAAAGCAAAGTTCAGAGGCATCCTCTTCCCCAAAAGTTTCCAAGTGTATATGGCACAGAAGGAATATGCTGCTTTTAGTTGAATTTTCTCCCTCCCCATCCCTAAAGGGACAGGGGTGGGGGTGAGCAAGCAGCTGTGTAGCTTTTGTTCCTGGCGGAGCGGGCTCAAACTCTGACACTTGTGTAGTTGCCATCTGAATAGTTACCGTCTTTGTTTTACTTCTCCAGATACTTGCTCACAACCTGTCTTCTTAGCAATCTACACACAAAGTTCCGCAATGACATTTAAAAGCAAATTCAGGGTGAAAACTGATCGGAAACTACAACTCCTTACAAATAAAGGAAATCATTTAGAAAATTTAGCAAGATTAAAAAAATAAAGATGGGGATGTAAGCCTGTTCATAAAAGTCAGAGGGCAGAAGTCAAATTTGCAACAGAAATATTCCAGGTGGCTGCTGGATGAGGCACTCCTTTCTCACAGCACCCTCTTTCCAGACTACAACAAAGTGCCCTGAAGATAACGACAACCCTCTGCTCATGATTCTGTACAAGATCCTCAAAGAAAAGAAATCAGCATTTTGCTGCTGACATGCTTCACTGTCAGCCGGGAATGAATGTCACTGAGAATCTGGCATGAAACACACGTTTTCTAGCCATGCGAAGACATGCTAAAAAAACATTGTTCATAGATTTGCAAAGACCATAGAGAACCAACAGCATATTATAATTTTAACTACCAAATAAAAACATCTCTTCTATGTTGTAATTAACTAATTTTTTTAATTAGTTAAGTATTAATTAATTATTTCTCTTCCGCTACTTACTTTTTTTAGGTGCTGATCCTTGATGATCGGCATTTACATCTCGCTTGGATTTACACTCTGTATGTTTAGCATGAGACTGTTGTTCCCTCTCGGAGGAGTGGCAAATACATGGAGCATTTTGAAAATTGGAATTATTTACAATGGCCTTCAGTAAAATAGTCTGGTTTTCTCTTTGCCGCACTGATCTTTTGCAAGAATTGTTAAAAGTGCAAAGTGGAAAAGTGGTGTTGTTTGATGAACAGATATCCATGCACGATACAATGACAGTGTTATCTGTAAAAAAAAAAAAAGAAGAGTGCTACATTAGCAAGACAGTCATGTAGGATGCATGGACAAATACCCCCGTGGAAGCATCAGGTAACAGCTTCTTTAACCATCTTATGATGAAACGCACTTTCTTGAGGGTTATGGCAGCACAATGAATGCATCAAGTGAGATAAAACAAGCACAGGGTCTTCCCACAACCTAGGTGCTGGATTTTAATGCTGAGTTGTACAAAATTTCTTGTAATGCTGACTTGTATTTGTGGTGGTATCTAGTCACATTCATGATTCAAAGCTGCTCCGATTTGATTGCACTTGAAAAGAAGATGAAAATACTCATTTTAGAAAGAGAACTTTGCCCTGAAACTGTGCAGTTGCAAGGCACCAGGGCAATTACGTTGTAAAATAGCTATAATCAGAACAAAAATTTTCTTCCCAATGACATTGAAACTACATAGTGAAGATACACAGAAATGCTGCTGAATCCTTTGACCACACCCTTCACATCCTCTTACATTCAGTCAACAAAAAAGAGTCTTAATTATGACCACTGGTTTTGGTATCCATAGTCAAATCTCAGTGTCAAGTTACTGTAGCTAGTGTACATTAATGCAGCTCTGGCAAGTAGAAAAACCCACATAGAATTAATTATTGATGAGTGTTATTTTAGCTATCTTCTACTTTGAAGTAGGGCTTTGTTGTACAAATTGTGCATTTCTACTTCAGCTAACTTTGAACTGTTTTTTCAATACGTAAAAAAAGTTAAGAATAAAATTCTGGGACCCCAACATGAAAAATGTACTTATGAATAAAAATAAGCACTTCCCTGAGTTGATGCAGCACTAGCCTATAGTTTTGTAGCTGAGCTTCCAGTTCTAGTAGTACCCTTGCATATCTGTGAAGAGGATATTTTGCACTTAACTCCCATTATGAGTAATTGGAATAATACATTCATAAATCTTTATGCATAGAGAGAAAAACATGGCCTTTAATTGCTCCAGTGCTCAGCTGCAATCTGACAGCTTCAACAGGCCACCTGTGTTCAGAAACAGTTCAGTGAAGGATGCAGAAATAAAATCCAAAATCCAATGCCAAAGTCAATTATCTTCACTTTACTACCACTGCAACAGAGAGTAGTAAACTCCTTATAAAACATAATAAATTGAAATGTGAAAAAACATATCCCATGCAGGTAAGAAAATAATTAATTTTAATAAAAAAAAAAAGTCAGACAAAATTTAGGGCTTGATCTTTCTGTGAGGCAAAACAAAACATTTTCCCCAAAATGCTTATGATTTGAGCAAGCAACCTGGAGTGGAGCAGGCATAAAACCATCACTAGAAATGTGGAAAGGGTTTTGTGAAATCTGAGTGCAGACAGCCTGAAGAGTTAGGAGGATCACTGAGATGAAACCATGCAAAGTATGTCTAGCAAACTGCTCTATATTCAAAATGCTTCATGTTAGGAAATTCTGGGATTATGAAATTCTTTTGTTAAAGTCTCTATTTACAGGGTATTTCTCCACAGAAAATCCAATTTCATTAAAACAAAATTATTCACAAGCAAGATCTGAATTTGTAAAAAACTTACTTCCCATTAAAAACATCATAAATATTTCATTTTGGATTAGCTTGACTTTTTTTTTCTTTTTTTGATCTGCGGTGTTCTGTTTTGAATCAGTTCAGCAGTATGTAAAATTGCATTTTTTATCATGTCCTTATGGAAATTATAGTCATCACATAATATTGTAGAGATACAAGGCCTGCAGTTCGAGCTGGAGAATACACAATGGATAGATTAAAAGAGATACACTCCATGAAGTAGCTGGACCCAGAGGACAGGACTGGGATTGAGAGCATCAGACTCCAAAATGACAACCTCCTGCTCTAAAGTAATGCAGTTTAAAGGTTCAATGATTTGTAACCAAACAAGCGGGTTGCTCTTCAACTATAAATGAAATCTTTCATTTTAAGCAATGCTAAATCATATTCTTTTGATAAATTTTTAAAGGCTTGGTTTTTTGCAGATTGATTTCTTCTTAAATCTCTGTTTAATGAGAAATTTCCATTTTAATTCTCTCTCTGGAATGAAAATAAATGCTATAACTTCCCCTGGGAAAAAACATCTGAGTTTCACTTCCTTCTCTCTGTATACTTTGCTTGCCTGCCATTTCAGAGGTTATATTTAAAACCTGAAGTACCCACAACATTAATGTCATCTTCGAAAAGCGTGTGGAATCAGGACATCTCTGTCACTTATTTGGGAACCCCTCACAGTGGAAGATACAGTGACTGTGCTTCACACCTCAGAGATTTCCAACAACAACTCTCTGTGGTGAAGCCTCATGGGGTAACCACCAATTCAAAACATCTATCAATCACAGAGACGGAGCATCTGGCAAATTCTGTGCTTTTTAGGTTTGCCGCAAAATCTGAAATAAAACCAGTTTCCAACAGGTTTCCAAGGAACCAGAGACCCTAATTCCTTGTAATTTTCAAAATAAATAGTTCAACATATTTACTTTCTCATGTAATTTGGACATTGTTACACAGTCTGTTGTATAGTCATATAATTTTTAGAACGTCCTAAATACGACAATTATTCTAATTTTCCAAATATAATTCTGTGATGTGTTCTGCTCATGTAATTCACCATCTTCTTTTAGATGCTCTGTGATTAAGATCGCATTTAGGTATTAGAACTGCAGTGACTGTGCTAGTGCAGCATAAAGCATCTCCAATAAGAGCAACCTAGGAAAGTTGTCATGGAAAAATGCCATTACTCTTTGATGTTTGACAGCAAGCTCAATGTTTTCTTCTAGTGATAGTCTTGTCCTTGTTTTATTTGTATAGTCTATGCTAGCAACTATATTGGTTACTTCTGCGCAGAGGTAAAACTTTAATTATTCCAACACCTTAAAGAGACTTATCAATTTCATGATATTTGAAAGTTATGTCAGCTTACCAAGTTTGTTTGTTTATAAACTATAAAAAACTATAAATTATATTCTAGTTACTGTCATGTTCATTCTTTTTGGTTAATGAAAATAGAAATGTAAATACAAGTAACCTAATCTGGATATATTTTAATTTTGTCAAAAAAATATGCTTTATAAATATTTTTTGTGATGCCTGGGAATACACAACATTTGTTAAAGGCTGCTTTTATTCCAACATTTATATATTCAAAAGCTTACTTAGGAATGGATATGACAAAACTATTTTAATATTAATTTATTTATGGATTTCTAAGAAAGCACTGAATGCATAACTTACAAACATGTAATTTGCATTCATCCTAAATCCAGTATCGACCTTTAGGATCACCAGGATGTATTTGACATTTATTCTAAAAGATTTGCTTCATTCAGTTACACCCATTCCGCTCTACTTTTTGTCAGGCTACCACTGCATATCTCCTTCATGGGCAGCATCTCATACAAGATAGTAATTGTACAAAGTTTTATAGGCATTTAAGTATAGAATTTTTTTAAAAAAGTTATTTTTTAAGACATGAGTACTTGCTATGAAAGAATACATGTACTTTAGCTACTGTCCTCATGACGAAAATAGTAAAAGTACAGTTGCATGGACATAGTTATCAAAAGCTTTGCATTGTACGTACATGAATAACAAAGTCCTTTCAAATTATCACATATAATTAACTCTGCTTTTTCAAAATCAATGAAAAAAATCTATATGCTCTGCAAAGTCCAAAGAAGTACAGCATCCTAACCACTGCTTTTAGGAAAGCACGTGTCAACTTTTCAGTTGCAATCAGGCTTTAGAATAAAAAAAAGGCTATTTTAAAAGATGATCACTCACCTTCACGGATTTTGAAAAATTCAGGTAAACATAAAATAAACACGGTAATTATTCCTAGTACTAATCTGAAGAGTTCTGATTTTCTCCAAAGCAAGCACATGTCACTGAAGCACTCCCATCTACCTAGTGCTGCTAACTTCCTTCCTGGTTTAGCTTGTAACTTGGTGAAGATCTTACGCAAAATAACGTCTATTCATTTCCTTTCTCTACAATGACTTTTCTTTTTCCTTCTCGTTATGTTGTAGAAAGCCAGGTTCTGTTCTTATATAGATGAGGATGATTCAAATCAGTACGCTGAAGATAAAATTTATGTACAAGGATGGAAATAAGAGAAAACACATGCATAGAAACTTATTTATTTGGGGTAGTTTTGTTTTAGGAACATCACCCCCTAATGGCCACTCTTATATACCTCCTAAACAGTAAAAGAATCGCCTCTGGGAAGGAATTTTGTTCCCATTTGGTTAAGAAGATTTTTTAAAAATGAGATAGATCTTTGTTATGAGTCAGAACCACATGAATCAGACATGAAGATTTTATTGTTTTATTTATATACATATGCATTGGGGCTTGGGGGAAGATATTTTTACGTAATACAGAATCTTTCAGACTTTAATAGGCTATTAAATTCATTCTTACAACCTAACATTTCTGATTTGGCAAATCAGTGATGTACCAAGTATGATGAATAGAGTGTTAGGTGTTTGTATTATCATTGCTGCTGTATTCTTAAAAGACAACTGATATGTTGCCAATTTGTAGAGCTGTATTAGTTTTCAGTGTATCTGTTACTAATCCTTTACAGCACAAGAAGACTGGATAGAGCCATTACTATTTCTGTGCATTGTAGTCACAGTTTTCCAGCTAAACTTTCCCGTTAAAAAAGCGAAGTCTTCTTTCACTCTAACAACAACCACTATATTCCATAAATTTTTCTTACAGAGGAGACTGCAAAGAACATTTCTGAAATGTTCCAGATAAAAGTACTCTGAATAATGCACACGTAAAACCAAACAATTTGACTCAGATATAGAGTATATACAGTATGAAGGATTTAATTAATTCAGAAAACTCTCTTCTGATGTGGTACTTTTCCCACAACCCATTAAATATTGAGCACTCGCAAAACGAAGCAATGCTGTTGAAGTTAAAATAAGAAATGCCCCATGAATCTGAAATGCCCTTCTTATCATCTAGATGTGTCAGGACATGAGTAAGCCAGGTAGAAGCAAATAGAGTATTCATTTATAGTATTATAGAAAGAGCTATAGTGACTATAAATTTGTTAATTGTATTTTTTAAATGTAGCACTTTTATGCAATGAAACCTAAGCAAAATGAATTGATTTTTTGGCAGTACGGTAAGCCAGAAGTAATAGGATATGCAAAACATAAGTATGAATTCAAAGAGTGAAATACTGCTTAATTTATATTTGTCATCTACTAGCAAATAAGGTCTACTTTATGAGAGACTGCATTACCCTGTACGTAACTTCCGTATTTTCCTGTTTTCAAGGTTGCATGGTGTTCACCTATCCTTTCTGCCCAGAGGGAACAGAGAAAATACTGGAAAAAATTATTACTAGACTTTGTCTAGTAATATATGTATCTCTCTCTTTCTGATACATTCAGACTTCCATGGTTGTTGGTGCCCAAGGTCAGAACAGAAATTGCCCTCTAGCATCACACCCAAGTTCAGCCTGATACAGTAACAGCCTACGGAATACCTGGCTTCCAGACCCTACAGACAAGGTTTCTAATGTCTCGGCAGTGAGCAGATGGGGAATATCTATTTCAGGGCTATTGTGCTGGCACATTTTAGTTTATTCTCTGAGTTCAAGAGGCCCAAATACGATCAGCCCACAGCCCCCGGGGACACCCTAAGCTTTGCGCACGTGTGTGAACCAGCTGAAGCACGTGCGTGTGTGTGGCATGACCCGCCAACTGACCTGAAAAACACGAGTCTTCCTTTGTGGGGCTGCACCTCCCTCCACCTAGCTAAAGATTCTTACACAGCTGGAACAGGCAGGACCTTTGAAAACCTAGTCCTTTGGCCAAGTTTAGTTAAAATTGTCTAAATCATTTAAAGTCAGACGGGATTAGAACTGGCAGACTGATGAAACATGTAGCCACATAGGCCACGTTTCCTTACAGAATTAGGCAAGGAAAGCACTATATATATATATTTCACTATATGTGTATACATTTCTCACTGCTGCAGCAAACTCGTGCTGCCATCCCTCAGTGATGCTCTCACACACCCTTAAATCAGTTTTATCAGTCGGAGGCACATCTGACTGTCACACAGCCTATTAATTCGGAAAATTATTCTACCTCTGGAGGGCAGAGGTCACAAGTAAGGGCCGGGCCGCGCTTGCCCGTGAGCGGAGGCTGCCTCGGCACCACACGGCGCCAGGGCCCTCAGCGGCGGTTCACGGTTGCCTCGTGCGTCACCGCGGATTTGCTCCACTTCAACGAGGGAGCGGGAAATTACGGGAACGCTCAGCTTTGCGGTTTCAGAACGCTGGCGAAGGCACCCAGGGACAGGATGAAGCCTTTGACAGAGTC